GGGGCCTGCTGTCTTCCGTCACCGTTTTCTAGGTGGATTTGTCTCTTGTCAGTTTGCCAGCAACTCCTAATTATCAGTTCGAGTGAGGTGGACTGGCTGGGTGACTGACTAGTGACACTTCCTCATCTCCTTTGTTCTGGAGACTACATATTCCCCACGCGGAAGACAGGATGGCTGAAGGAGCTGGCCATGTGTTCAGCTGTGGAGTCTTGGGCTCAACATTATAATATGGCATCCTAGAGTAATCTCAGGTGGATGCTGTTCCCCACCCACCCACTTACCCACGGTGTGACTGAAGCGATAGCGGAGCCAGCAGCCTCAGGTGTTTTCCTAAGCTACTCCTTCATTCAGAGGCTGCCAAATTTGCTTACTGAGCTGAGCCCTAGTAAGGAAGTGTTCAGAATGGGGAAGTGGGGTGGTAGTTAAACATGTGTGAAACCAGTAGCTCCTGGGTGCCTAAGCTTTTGACTTTGTGCTCTAGTGAGGAGGAGACACCATGGGAAGGGGTGTGGGAAGGGGCGGGGTGCTTGGTCTGCTCCTTATCCTCTTAGGGCACTCTGGAATGTGGGGTTTGCAATCCCTCCCTCCTCTGGAGCAGGAAGCTCAGCACTCCCTGATGGTATCTCATGGGATTGTCAATTATTTCTCTGGTTACTTTGTATAACATCCAAGCCACCCCTGTTGGGAAGCTGGATGAGTCCAAAGCTAAGACACTATTTAAATGTTGTGCTGGGATCCCGCTTCTGCTTTGGGTCTAGACATTGACCTTTTATAATGTAGTACCCTGACAAACCCACTTTCAGTTTTGTTTCCTTTGTACTTCTGGCTAAAATTAAACAGATGGCAACATGATATTTTGAAAATTATTTATTTGAAAGAGTGATGGGGGAATCTTGAATCTGCTGGTTCACTTTACAAATGGCCCCATGGCCCATGGGGGGGCCAGGCTGAAGCCAGTAGCCCAGAAATCCAACCAGTCTCCCATGTGGGTGGCAGGGCCCAATTACTTGGGTCATCCTCGTTGCTTTTCCCAGGTACAGTAGTACCAGGGAGCTGGATCTGTAGCACAGCAGGAAGGACCCAAACCTGTGCTCTGATTTGGAATGTTAGAGGTGGCCGCTTCAACTTGCTGCACCTGCAACACTGGGCTGCAACATTAAGTTTAAATGCAGTTTTTTTTTCCTTACCTGTTTTTTGTGGTGGTGGTGATAAAAAATATGCAAAACAAAATGTATCATTATAACCTCTTAAGTGTACAGTTCACCCTTATGTGTTTTTAACCTCTTAACTTTCCTGGTGTGTGTGTGTGTGTGTGTTTTCCCCTTTTCTAAAAAACTTGGAGGGAATGAACTGAGCTCTTTTTTTGGAGGGGGTGGGGAAAGGGAGTGAGCTTTGAACAACAGTTTTGATTCTGGCCTTAATCTCAAATTCTTAATCTCTAGACGGGGCTAGAATGTTTTACTCTTGGGTGGTTCTCTCCTACTTGGTGGGGTCTGGTGGCCTAAGCAGCAGGCTTTATCACCTTCCTTTGGTTTGGATTTGCTTTTCTGCCGTGCCCCGCCCCCTGCAAGGAGCACACACTCACAGGAGAGGCAAACAGCCCTTTGCTCCTAGTGCCTCACTTAGGCTCCACCTTTGTTTACTTTGGGGCCTGTAGCTCTCTGTTCCCTTCCTTCCAACCTGCCTGCCTCCTGGTAGGATTTAAATTCCCCAAGGGCACGGTGTCTCTGTGGGTAGGTGCAGTCCTTTACACTCAGGGTCAAGCCCAATTCTAGTCTTTGTCCTTTCAGTTTCATCTTTTCTATCTAAAAAGAGGAACGCCAGCATGGCAGATTGCCAGATGTAGGCTAATCCCCTTCTACCCGTGGCCCCATTCTGCCCCTGAACACCATGGGCATGTCAAGTTTCTTGCCTGGAAAGGTATGGTGTACCCTGGGCATGTTTGGAATGGAGGATGGTAGCGTTGAAACCAAACATTTCATAGCTGAAGCTGTTGTCAGGCGTCTTCTGAAGTTGCTGTTGCATTCCACTCCCACCGCTGGGATCTTTGCCTTCTGGGCTGTGGAGAATCCTATTATTATCTGAAGGGTCAGACCTCAGAGTATGTCCTCCGCGCGGGGTGGAGAGGAGCCGTCTGAAAGGCCACAGCCGCACCCGGGCTGGCGAGCTACAACTGAGCTGATGGGGAAAGCACAGGGCTTACCATTTCTCCCGCCCAGACTGAGCCACGGAATCCTAAGTCAAACTCTGGTGCTTGGTTATTCACCTGAAAGGCTCTGGCTTGAAGGAAAAGGCAGGTTGTCTTCCTTATTCCTTTAAACAGCACATCAGGTCTTGATTTTACAAGCTTTTTTTTTTTTTTTTTTTTTGTAAAGAGAACTGATCCTCTGGGGGAGGAGAAAAAAAGAGAACAGCAACATCTTGTCTGCCCCCCCCGCCCCCCCCAGAGCCTCTGCCCCCCCCTCCCGCCCCCCAGCCTTGGGGGGGTCTGCGGAGCCTTTGCTGGGGGTTCCTGTCTTGGGCCCCGGTCTCTGACACAGGGCTTTTTGATGCGCACATGCTCTCGGTGAGGGCACCGAGAAGGATTTTCTCCTCCTCTCTCTTCAGCTTTGCTAAGAATTCTATTGCACATCCTGACCTGTGGGAGAAACCACCCAAGCCATCTTGTTGTCGTGGAGACTATACACCCCTCCCACCCCCGTAGCCTGTTAACTCAAGTTTGGATAACTGCTGCTGAGCCGGGTTGGGACCTGACATTTCAGGAGCTTCTTCCAAACCCACTTGCATTTTTTTGCTGCTTGGTTCTAGGCATCCGAAGAGGGTGAGTTGTTGTACTGGCCATTTGCTAGTTCCCTGCCTGATAGCCTGGCTTGATGTGGACTGGCTGGCCTTGTTGGGTTTGTGAGGAGAGATGTGTGTCGTCGTGGGGACATCATCTGTTTTCCTGAAAGAGCCAGAGCATACCATCTCCGTGCTGTTTTTTGAATGGTATAGTTAGAGACAGGAATGGTCTCTTAGTTATTTCAGCTTATGTAGCCATCTCCGTTTTCTTTTTCAGTAGTCTGGTGGTTAGAATGTAGCCCCAGCTCCCCACCCTGCCTTCCTAGTCTCTTGAACTCTCATATGTTTATATGTGGAAAATTTTGTGCCAATCCTGATTGTTAACAGGAGTCTTTTGGGCCATATCCTTCCCCATAGGGGCTGATGGCCCAGATTTCTATAGCTGCCCCTACTGCTGCCTGCTAGGAGGAAATCAGGGTAATAGAATTCAGGCACAATCTGGGCTGTAGAAGAGAGATCGTGTTTACCAGGCGCCTGGATAAGCATCTGAACTGGGTGGTGTGCAGGGCAGATTACATTCTTGTGTGGTTGTGGCAGTCAGCATACCTGCCACCATAAAGGCTGGGTCTGAGGAGGGAGGCGTTTCTGCCATGAGAGTGTGGCTGGGTGTGCAGCTGCCTCCTCCATTCCTTGTTTCTTATTCCACTGGTGGGGAGGCAGCATGGCATTTCTTGGATTCTAGCCTGTGCTTTGTTGCGGGATGGCTGCCAGGAGAGGATCGCCACAGCTGTAACTGGGGGGTGAAGCTGCAGGGATGGCTAGTGGAATGGAAAGGACATGGTGGAGAAGTTGGAATGGTAGAAACGCTCCCTTCTGCCCCAAGTGGTTCTTGTCATATCAAAGCAGAGAAGTTTAACCTGCAGCGGCTCCTCCTCATTGTCAGTTTAAGGGGATGAGGGAACAAGTTCAAGGGATGGGGGTAGATATCCCAACATTCCGTTCTTCTGCTTTCCAGTCTGGCAGGCTATTCTGGAAGACATTCTCTTGGCTAGTTGTGTTCCAGATGTAATTAGGGTAAATTGATCAGGGTTGGCCACTTGAGTTAAGCAACAAATTAATAGATAACCCAAGATTTCCTCTTTAAAGACGCCTTGCTTATTTATTTTTTCCCCTTTATGAGACACTTGGAACAAAGGTGTTGAGGGTGAGACACACCTCCAGGCCACAGCTCAAGCAGATGGAGCCCTTCACGGGCTACCTTTGCTGACGCCTGTGTGTTCAGGAATTTGAGCTGAGTCCAGAAGCAGTTGGTAATGTCACTGGTCTGCACAAGGAACTGAGTTTTAAAACATTCTTCCTGTGGAACATCTATGAGTTGGTTGATGGGGAAGGGAGGAAATACACATATATAATGAGATCCACTGGGTTTCTTAGCGTCTGAGTTTCTAATCTGCTAGATTCTGGCCTCTTTGTGTCAGTCAACTCCAGTCTTACTGTCATAACTAATTCTTTTCACCACATCTCTGCTTCCCTTTTCCATTCTTTCATCTGAACACAGGCTGAGGGTGAGGTGGCTTCCTTGAACCGCAGATCCAGTTGGTGGAAGAGGAGCTGGATCGTGCTCAGGAGCGCTTGGCCACTGCCCTGCAAAAGTTGGAAGAAGCAGAAAAAGCTGCTGATGAGAGTGAGAGGTTTGTAGCGTACCCTGCTGGAATGTGGGTTTTGAAAGTTCATAATATCTTTGGTCAAGATCTCCTTATAGTTCTGTTTTTGAAATAGTAACCTATTTTTTTTAAAGATTTATTTATTTATTTGAAAGGCAGAATGATAAATCTTTTTTTTAATATAAAGATTTATTTTATTTGAAAGAGTTATAGAGAGAAAGGTCTTCTATCCATTGGATCAGTCCCCAAATGGCTGCAACAGCTGGAGCTGAACCAATCTGAAGGCAGGAGCCAGGAGCCTCTTCTGGGTTTCTCATGTGGGTGCAGGGCCCCAAGGATTTGGACCATCCTCCACTGCTTTTCCAGCCCATTAGCAGGGAGCTGGATTGGAAGTGGAGCAGCCAGGACTCAAACTGGTACCCATATGGGATGCCGGCACTGCAGGCCAGGGTTTTAACCTGCTGCTCCACAGCACTGGCCCCAGAGTGACAGATCTTCTATCCCATGCTTCACTCCCCATTTGGCCACAACAGCCAGGTCTGGACCAGGCTGAAACCAGGAACCAGGAACTGCATCTGGGCCTCACATGTGAGTGGCAGGGCCCAAGCTCTTGGGCCATCTTCTGCTGCGCTCTCAGGCTCATTAGCCGGGAACTGCATTGGAAGCGGAGCAGCTGGGACTTTAAGTGGCACTCCAGTATGGGATGCAGATGCTACAAGCTGTGGCTTAACCTGCTTGCACCACAACGCCAGCTCCAGTAACCTCTATTGAAAAAATAGAGAGAGGGAGAGACAGAGAGATCTTCCATCCACTGGTTCATTCCTCAAATGGCTTCAATAGCTGGGGTTCAGCTAGACCAAAGCTGGGATCCAGGAACTTCTTCCAGGTCTTCCAGGTCTCCCATGTGGGTACTTGGGCCATCCTCCGCTGCTTTCCCAGGCCAGTAGCAGGGAGCTGGATCGAAAGTGGAGTAGCTAGGACTCAAACTGGCTCCCATATGAGATTGCAGGTGGCTGCTTAACTTGTTATACCACAACACACAGCCCTGGCTCCTCCTGCCTTTGATCTACAGAATCTGAAAGTCTGGAGGTAGAGCCAGCAATCTGTTTGTTAAAGACTATTTTATTTATTTGCAGGGCAGAGTCACAGAGAGAGGGAGAGACAGAGGTCTTCCATCCACTGGCTCATTCCCCAAATGGCCGCAACAGCTGGGGCTGGGCCAGTCTGAAGCCAGGAGCCAGGAACTTCTTCCAGGTCTCCCACATGTGTGCAGGGACCCAAGCACCTGGGCCATCTTCTGCTTTCCCAGGAGCATTAGCAGGGAGCTGGATTGGAAGTGGAGCAGCCAGGATTCTAACTGGTACCCACATGGGATGCTGGTGTCTCAGGAGGCAGCTTTACCTGCTATGCCACAGTGCTGGCCCCCAATCTGTGTTGTAATTGCTTTGTGCAAGTTGGGATTTTTTTTTGTTTTTGTTTTTTACATATATCTTCATAAAAAATTTCTAGAAGAATTATTGAGAAAGAGGTTACTTCTGATGGAGCCATTCTAATGTGAGCAGGGAGACTTAGACTTTTTCCTTTATGCCCTTCTGGTATCCACTCATACCATACTTTCTTTCTTAATAAACATGTAGGGGCTGGTGCTGTGGCTTTGCAAGTAACACTGCTACCCACAATGCCAGCATCCCATATGAGCACCAGTTGGAGTCCCAGCTGCTCCACTTCCAGTCCAGCTCTTTGCTATGGCCTGGGAAAGCAGTGGAGGATGGCCCAAGTGCTTGGGCCCCTGCACCCACGTGGGAGACCCAAAGGAGGCTCCTGGCTCCTGGCTTTAGATCGGCTCAGCTCTCGCTGTTGCGGCCATTTGGGGAGTGAACCAGTGTATGGAAGACCTCTCTGTCTGTGCCTCTGTCTCTCTCTAACTCTGCCTTACAAATAAATAAATAAATAAATCTTTTAAAAAATGTATTATTTTTATAAGGAAAAATTTTATTTTTTAAATTATTTGAAATGTAGAGTGACAGAAAAAAAGATCTTGCATCCATTGGTTACTCCCCAAAATACCCCCAATATTCAGGGTTAAGCCAGGCCAAAACCAAGAGCCCAGAACTCCATCCTGGTCTCCCACATAGGTGGTAGGGGTCCCAGTCCTTGAGCTGTCATCTGCTTTCCCTGGGTGTGCATTAGCAGGGAGCTGGATCAGAAGCAGAGACCAGGTGCTTCCAAACAACAGCCCAACCCACTGCACCCCTAGCCCCAGGAAATTTTTTTTCTTAAAATTTTTTTTTCTTTCTGGACTCACACTTCCTGCTGCCTCCCCTTAAGATTTATTTATTTGAATGGCAGAATTAGAGAGGAGAGACAGATTGATCTTCTGTTCACTGGTTACTCCCAAAGGCTGCAATGGCCAGGGCTGGGGCAGGCTGAGGCGAGGAACCAGGAGCTTCTTCTGGATCTCCCAAGCACTTGGGCCATCTTCTGCTGCTTTCCCAGGTGCAGCAGGGAGCTGGATCAGAAGTGGAGCAGCCGAGACTCAAACTGGCGCCCATATGGGATGGTAGCAGCTTTACTCACTATCCCTCAATTCCAGCCTTCCAGGAAAAGTTTTGAAAGAAATAATTAAACTCGTGTTTTGGGGTGGGGCTTTTGGATTTCCATTCGAATGACAAGGAGAGAAGAATGGGCTTTAAAGATACAAATGTGGGCTCCTTGGACTGGAGCTGGTGACAAACTCCTCAGGGTGTCAGTGCTGCTTTTGTCCTGTTTCTGGCAGAGGTATGAAGGTTATTGAAAACCGGGCCTTAAAAGATGAAGAAAAGATGGAACTCCAGGAAATCCAACTCAAAGAAGCTAAGCACATTGCAGAAGAGGCAGACAGGAAGTATGAAGAGGTAAGGCACCTTCTATTCGTCCCTCTTTCTGCGGTGACATCGGCCTTCTTCAGAGAATTGTGGCAGAAATGGCTTCTTTGCCTCACTGAGCTGTACCTTGATCTCTTCCTGTAGGTGGCTCGTAAATTGGTGATTATTGAAGGAGACTTGGAACGCACAGAGGAACGAGCTGAGCTGGCAGAGTCGTGAGTATCTTGCTCCCCAAATTTTGTGGTACTGTCTTGTCTCTTCCCCCTTGGCTTGGGCACTAATATGAATAAACTAGCATTCCTTCAACCTTGTTAAACAGGGCCCTGCAGAGGGAGCCAGCTGGCACGCTTTTTTTAGAGTCTGAGAATGGCTTTGGGTTTCCTCCCCCTCTTCACTTGAGTAGTGACAGGTGTCAAATGAGGCTTGCTTCTTTATTTTCGGGAGAGCTTACAAATTGAGGGAAAATAAAGGCTAATGGTGTACAGTTAACTGGAAGACCCTACCCAGTCCATCTACCTGGAGATTCTGACTGCTCCCCTCTTGGCACCTCTGGGCCTTGTATAACAAAGTCAGCGCTGATGCATATATATTTGTGCTTCCCTGGCATCCCCTTCCCAGACATGACATGTCATGACCATTGTAGTGTTTTCTTCCCATTTTTTGAATTTTTTTTTTCCCGTTTTGCTGCTTGTTTTCTTGCTGTGTTCCTTTTTGACCTTTTTCCCTCCCACAACCGGGCTTGTGCCACCCCCCCGTGACTATCACTAACAGCCGTTGCCGAGAGATGGATGAGCAGATCAGACTGATGGACCAGAACCTGAAGTGTCTGAGTGCTGCTGAGGAAAAGGTACTAACCATCACATGCAGAGAGGTTACGTGGATACGTGGGGGTGTGGTCTGGTCTGGTCTGGTTTGGTTTGTTTTGCAGCTGCCTCCCTTCCACTGGTTGAATTGTTGAGTGTTTTCTCACCTCTCCATCGAATGCTCCATTCTGTTCCACGTCCTTGGCATCTTTCATCTCTTTCCTAGTTCCTCCACTGCCTCTCCACAGGGTGTCTCCTTCCCTTGGGTGATTTGGGGGACTATTTGGGTTGGGCATTTGTTCCCACCTCCACCCCAGGTAGCAGGTACGACTTGTTCCTGGTCGTGATTTCTCTCAAGCATTCTTTCTTTGTTAGTATCCAAACATTCTGAACTCAGGAGAGTCCAGCTCCTGACCTGTCCTGTGGCAGAGGGAGGAGGGTTGATGCTTGCTCAGGTTACCTGGGAACTTCTCTTCCCCAGTGTACCTTCCAACTCTCTCTACATATAGGTTCAATTCACCTCTGTGTGTCTCTCTCCCTTTTTTTTTTTATTCTCTTCCTCTTCCCCTGTCCTCTCCTGTGGTATTTAAAATATTCACAGTAAGTGTTCTGAGCTGGAGGAGGAGCTGAAGAATGTCACCAACAACCTCAAGTCTCTTGAGGCTCAGGCGGAGAAGGTAGGGGCTGGTTTGTGAAGGTGACAGGCTTTGGGGCCTGGGCCCAGCCCTGCCCTTGCTGAAAGACTGGAAGTACCCTTTCCTTATAAAATCTAATAAGAATGCCCCCCTCCCTAAATTTTATTTATTTGAAAGACAGAAAGATCTCCTACCCACTGGTTCACTGCACAAGTGTCCATAATAGCTGGGGCTGGGCCAGGCAAAAACTGGGAGCTAGAAATTCGATCCAGTTCTTCCTGAGTGGCAGAAACTTAAGTACTTGATCCAGTATCTGCTGCCTGCCAGGGTGCACAGTAGCAGGAAGTTGGAATCAGGAGCAGAGTCAGGACTCAAACCCAGATTCTTCAGTATGGGATGTGGGCATCCTAAGTGGCATCTTAACGATAATGCCATAGACTTGCCTCAGAAAGTGTCTTTTTCCTAACCACCTATACTTACCATCTATTCAGATTCCTGGGTTTATTGCTGATTCTTGCACACTTTGATTGCTTTAGTTAAAAATAGCTATGTGGTCTCGGGTGCCTAAAGTCAAGGGCTCCTTAGGCTCCTGCTGCTGTGCCAAAAGGCAGAGATCAGGGCACTTAATAGGCTTTCTAGCAGACAGATGGGCAACAGAATCAGCTCTGAGACCTAATGAGCAATCAAGACCGATGCCTTCTCTTTATTATCACGTGGGCGTGTTTCAGTCCTAAACAGCAGAAAGGAAAAACACCACCTTGGGTTGATCTGAATAAGATCAGAGCTTAGGTCCATTTTAAAAATAAAGTTCCTGGAGGATTTTAACCTGAGGGTATGGTGGAGGTAAATGTATAGGCTATTGGATTTTAAGGACCCTAATGTCCCAAACTGGGCCTTACTCTTTCTTGGACCACTCAGCACATTAAGTCCAAGAAGATACTTAATGTAGGAGTAAAGGTAGGGAGGGGGGAACATTGTCTCTGTGACAAATTTCTACTCTGAAATTTTTATTCTTCTTTTACAGTACTCTCAAAAAGAGGACAAATATGAGGAAGAAATAAAGATTCTCACCGATAAACTCAAGGAGGTAAGCTGAGGGCATTTTAGGGAAGGACCAAGACATTCAGAACTGTATCAGGCGTTAATGTGGATTTAGACTGGCTAGCAAGGGCTCTGAAAGTTATGGAAGTTGAGGGTAGAAGAAGTTGAGATCCTTCTCTTTGTCTTGTTCATCTGATTCTGACTGGTTTCACATTTCCCCCAGGCGGAGACCCGTGCTGAATTTGCTGAGAGATCGGTAGCCAAGCTGGAAAAGACAATTGATGATTTGGAAGGTATGGAGCCTGGGAAAGGGTTCAAATAGAGAAATGTAGAGGAAGACCTTGCCCAATAACCATTAATTAATTGGTAGCGACTTGGCATATATCAGGTGCCCATCCTTTGCCATGACTAGGTAAAATGGGTTGATCCTAGAATTGAATTTTTACATTGAATTTTTTCTTTTAAAAAGACTTTACCTAATATTCTGGAATTTGCCTCCTTCCTTCTGAGGAAACGTAATGGTTGCCTTTACCGCCAACTTAGTAGAGTGTCTTAAATCTTTAGTCTGTGTATTGAAATATATACTGAAATACATATTGAAATAAATATTGAAGCCCTGATCTCAGTGACAAAAGTTCATGCCCCTCGCCATGACCACTTTTGGCAATCCCGTTCACTACTCACGTGTGGGTATGTCCCAGGAGATGAAGCTCTGGAATAACCACATCTTGGAGCTTACCAGTGCCAGGGCTTTGTCACTGCTTCCCATCCTTGCAATTTGGCGGCTATCTACCCCGACAAGGGGAAGTACCCTTTGCCTTGGGAACCCTGAGGTGTGCTCCCAGTAGCAGGATGTTCTTTGGAGGAGTTTGAGGAGGCAACCTTTGGAGCAAAAGGGCCATGAACAGTGGTCAGATTTGGTAGGCAGAGAAGTGTCTGAGTGTGAATGTCTGCCTTTTCCATGTTCTGTTTTTGTTCAGTGTTATCATGGCTAGGAATTGGGCTAGTTGGGGGGTGGGAATGGTATCCTCGAGTGCCTTTGGTAACAGAAATTTTTACTCATGACTGGGCCAGGTTCTCAACCCTTGCTGCAATCAGATAAAGGCATCAGGAAGTGCAGTTGGTCCTCGGGGACAGTGGATCTCAAAGTGGCTAGTCACAGCTGCCAGGATAGATGTTTTCTGATATAAGACCCGTGGTCACACTTTTCCTAATTTCTGATTCCCTCTCTTCACCTGCTCTGATACCTTTCACTGTATCCCCTCATTCCTCCCTGTGGTTCCTGTGCCTGTCCAGATGAGCTCTATGCCCAGAAACTGAAGTACAAGGCCATTAGCGAGGAGCTGGACCACGCCCTCAATGACATGACCTCTATGTAACTATCTGACAGCAGAGTGGGGCTGGGATCTTGGCTTGTGGGAGGGAGCGGGTCTAGGCTCTGCATAGTGTGCTTTGGTTTTGTCCTTTGGAAACTAGAAGCTCTGCCCTTATCTGAAAACACTGGTGCTGGTTACTTTGGCAGAAGCTGGGGAGGCAGTTTAATCTTGGGTCAGTGGTAGAACCTGGATCTATGGGTAATTTTCATACTGTGTACTCACAGTTGATTACATTGTGATTTTTCTATTTGTTTCACAAATCTGATCTCAGGAGATACATTGCTAAAGGGAAAGTTCATCTAACCAAGGCAGTCAGGCCTGGAGAGCCATGACCTGGGCCTTAGCACATCATAACAAAATTCAGGTCTCCTGAGTGTATTTGATTTGTGCCCTGATACTAAAGTTCAGGGAAAATACTCCAGATGGGGAAATATCCAGTTCACCTAAGAATAAGTGCAGTCCCTGAAGCAAGCCAAGTGGTAAACAGCACCAAAAAGAGTTGTTGGGGACTTCATCTGTTTGCTGTGGACCCCTGATCCTTGACGCTAATCTGCCTCTCTTATGTATCTTTCCCACTAACCCTGAAAAGAAGCCAAATGACTCAGGCTGTAGTACCTGGCTCTTTTTTAGCATTCCTGCTGCCACCTCTTCCTTTTTTGCGCCTCTTCCTCTCTCAGATTGCTGTCTCAATTGATGCTAGTCCTTCTCACCTAGAGTATCCTTACTTTTTCACACAGATAACTATCACCGTTACTGCTCTGTTCTGGATCTGCCCCCTTTCCTCGGGGAACCCAGCGCCCCACTCTCGCTCTGGATTCCATTTGGGTCAGCCTGGCTGGTCCCCAAGGCCTTAGGATTTGGGGGACACAAATCAACTTATGTATTCTCTTCTACCCCAACCCCAAATTAAAATGTTGAGCTATTGGAAGCCACATGGCACTCTGATTGGTGTCACTGACAAAGCTGCTGCTAAAAAGGAGCTCTGGGGGTATGATGTGGAAAACAGCTGTTGTAGACTCCCCTCCTCTGACTTATAATCAAAGCCACTTTTGTGTGTGTCTATTTTTTCTTGGCATTTAAACTCAACTGATCTGACTCTATCAGAGTGGTGAACTAGTAGAGGTTCCTTAGAGTAGGAATTAGCTGAGTGAAATTATCTAGTCTTTTTACTTCCTGACTCAAATGGTCCTGGCCTGGAATGTGTCCATTCTCTCTTCAGGTCAGCTTCCTTTGATCTAGTGAGACGGACAGGCCATTGACAGGCTCACAGTACATGTTCTCCAGCCTTGCACAACCTCAGGACACCCTGACCATCCATCCATACACCTTATTGCTAAAATGGACCAACTGTGCCATCCCAAATCTCTGAAAAGTACATAACGGACAGAATCCACAACGCTTTTTTACATATGTGACGCTTACTACCATTTGCCTGCTAGTATGTGCTGGTGGGATATAAGCCGAGATAAAGTATTACTGGAAAAATGAAACAACCAATTATGCAGTATTTCAAATAGCGTGTGTACATGCAGGGACTGCTTCATTACATACATTACTTTCTGCTAGTGGAATTGTTCCTGGTTCAGATTATGTTCCTGGTTGAGATTACGGTACAAATGGATTCATCAGCTGACACTTACTGGAATCTTCTGGGTGTAGGAGCAATAAATGGGCAAGTAAATTAAAATGAGACAAGCAATAATGATGGGAGCACCATCCCTGCTCTGCCATTGCTCAGAATCTAGAAGGAGAAAGAACAACATACAAAAAGCTAGACACTCTGTGATGAGCGCCACAAGGAAGAAAGTGTCACGGAAGTAAGGAGAGAGAAGAGATTGAGTCCAGTAAGGATGATTAGGAAAGACTTCTGGAAGAATACAGGTAGTAGGCACTCCTAGGACAGGTATTAAAACTTGCTGCTTCTTTATCACGGGGCTCCAAAGGATTACATTTTTGATAAACAGTGAGGTGGAGGGGTACTGGATATTAAGCATTCTTGCTAAAGAGAAACAAAATTAGAAAGGCACAGATTGAGATGGGAAAAACACAGCAGCTATAAAGATAGATTCAGAGATGTATTTATTTATTTGAAAGGCAGAGAAAGAGTTTTACATCTGCTGGTTTAATCCTTCAGCTTCCAAGGCTGAAGCCAGGAGCTGGTAACTTCATCCAGGTCTCATGTGAGTGACAGGAACTCAAATACTCGAACCATCATGCACTGATGCCCAGGCACATTTAGGGTGCTGGATCAGAAGCAGGGTAGCTAGAACTAGAACTGAAACTTGGTTATGGGATGCAAGGGTCTAAAACAGTGGCTTAACCTGCTGCACCACAGTGCCTGCTCCTATAAAGGTAGATTTAAACAGAGTAGGGCACAGAGGTGTGTTCTAAAATCAGACTGGGGAGTTTTAATTTTAATTGGTGACAGGCTTGCCACTAGAGGTTTTGAACCAGGCATATGTTATGATCTGAATACCATATAAGAAGAATTAATTTGGCAGCTAAGTTAAGCTTGTGTGGGAAGGGGAGCAGATTACCAGAGTGATTCACTAAGATGATGGTTCCCAACTTTTAGTCATTTGCATACCATTTGATGGTTTTTGCCATATTAGCATGCTGTCTACGTTATTGATTTCTTCACATCTACTCTTGTTTTCAAATTTGATTTATTCTTATTCTGCATAATTCTATTTTGAAATCAAAAGTTTGTGCTGGTGTTTTTCTTAAGGCACATTAAAATCGATACAGCTAATAAAGTTTTACAGGTACACTGCCTGAGTACATACCACTACTGTGTATTACACACATGCTGCTGCACACATATTACTAGGAAATAATGTGCCACACTTTAGGAAATAACTGAGTTAGGGGTTTTTTTATTTTTATTTTTTTCCAAAGATTGATTGATTGATTTGAAAGAGTTACGGAGTGGCAGAGGCAGAGAGAGAGAGAAAGTCTTCCATCCACTGATTCGCTCTCCAAATGGCCACAACGGCCGGAGCTGGTGGCTGAAACTCAATCCTGGTCTCTAACATGACACCCAAGCACTTGCCATTATCTGCTGTCCCCCAGGGTGTGCATCAGCAGGAAGCTGGAATTGGAAGCAGAGTTGACTCAACCCAAGCAACATCTTAAACTGCAGTGCCAAATACCCACCCCACCACCCCTTCCTGTCAGTAATTGGACAGTACAGCTCTAGACCTTAAGTATGTTAGGCAGAAGGATTGGGCATTAGATGGACAAAGGCTTTTTCAAAAGGAATGAAGTAAAGAGAATAGAAAAGAGTGAGTGCCAGTCCAGGGTAGCAGAGTGAAATGTGCAGTGCTAAGCTCATGCTTTCATTTAATGGTGTACGTCAGAGATGTGGAACCTTTTTGTCTGCCAAGGGCTGTTTGGATATTTGTAACATCATTCTCGGGCCATGCAAAATTATCAACTTAAAAATCAGCCTGCTGTATATTCATTGAATTTCATGTCCTGCCTGCGGTTGCCTTAGCAGGGCCAGACCAATTGATTCCACAGGCCTCATGGCCCGTGGGCTGGGCGTTAGTACCCTTGGTCTGCATCCTTCAGTAGCTGTCCTGAGTTACCTGAGACTGTACGAACTGTGGGCTGCAATCAAGCAGCACGGCAAAGAACGTGGCCCTCTAACTTTTTCCCCTGCTCTTAATTTCTCAGGCCCATAGGCTAATGTGTTGGAATTCATTCTTCCCTCTCTTGTTATGTTTGTTGATATGAAGAACAGAGAACATGGCTGGTTATCTTTTGGGTAGAACTGAACCTGCTACACTGGGCAGCCTCACCTCTACCCCACTCCATCTCTTCCTGTCACATGATATTGATCAGATGTGCCCCAGCTCAGTGGGATTGTTCCCTAATCAACTGACCATGGCTAAAAGAAACATTGAGTCAAATGGACTCTCTGCCTTATCCTTTTTAAAAAACATTTGCATTTTTAATGTATTTTCATTTATTTGAAAGGCAGAGTGACAGAGATCTTTCATCCTCTGGTTCTTTCCCAAACACTTAGAACAGCTACGGCCAGGCCAGGACTAAGGCACGAGTCTGGAACTCCACCTGAATGTCCTTCCGAAGGTAGCAGGGACCTAAGCATGCATTAGCAAGAAGCTGGATCAGAAGCAAAGCAGCCAGAACTTGAACTGGCACTCCTATATGGGATGTGGGTGTCCCCGTTTAGCTGCACCACAGTGCCCACCCTTGCTTTGTCCTTTTTTTGTTTTGTTTTGCTGTTATCAAGGAACTAAGGGCTTTAAGGAGTTAGTATCTGATATTGAGCTTTTAGTTCCTGTAGATAACAGTCTGGAAGCTAAGTTCAAGGTGAGAAAGCAACTGCATTGTTCTGACCTCCTAGGGAACTCTGCCTTCTAGGATTTAATCAGGCAATAAAATGCTCCCATTCCTTCTGTGTGTGTGAATTTCTTCCATAAATGAAACAAAACCCTCACTGACCAGACTTTCTTGAGGGATAAGACCCTGATAATACTCTTCTTTCCCAAGATAGGAGTGGGAATTACATAAACTAATTTGGATTTAAAAACCCTCTAAGTTCAGGTTGTACATGAAATCCGAGAGTTCACAAATTTGAATGTCTCCTATTTGTCAAGGATGCTACAGCGAGTAAGGCAGGTCCAGTTCTAGGCCTCATGGAGCTTTATAGACTAGAATTTGTTGGTCAGTGGCGAGCTTTTGTCATTCAGGATGGGACAAGTCTTACAGAACAATCCTGCACATTAATGGCTCCGCACATTTCTAGATTCTTTCTTGGAGGAAGGAGAGGGACAGTTCTACCCCTATTGAGAACCACTGATTAAATAGGGGGTACAATTTAAAAAACACCCTGGAGCCAGAATTGTGGTGCAGAGGGGGTTAAGCCACTGCTTGTGATGCCAGGTATCCCATATGAGTGCTGGCTGCTCTACTTTTGAACCAGTTCCCTGCTAATACACCTAGGAACACAGTGGGTAGTGGCCCAGGTACTTCGGCCCCTATCACCCACACGGGGGACATAGATGGAATTCTGGGTTTCTGGCTTCAACCTGGAACAGCCCTAGGCATTGCAGCCATTTAGGGGAGTGCACAGCAGATGAAGCATCCTCTTCTGTCTCTCCTTGTCATTCAGCCTTTCAAATAAATAAGTAATTTTTTTTAATTAATCCTAGTGCTGTTTTTTAGTACAACTGTTATTTATGGCAGTCCTCCTAGGCTTTCTGTACATACATACTTTCTGTTTTGATAATAAACACAAGGTAGCAAATACTATTGGAACCATTCTGGCCCCCAGCTTTCTGGTGGGACTGGGGAAACCTCTGCTCCTGAGCCAAGGCCATCTGAGCAGTGCCCACAGATGGGACAGGAAAGTGTCTTTTTCATATTGAGATCCCGAGACTGAAAAAAAACAGTAGAAAGCATTTGTGACCTTCAGATGCTGACACTGGGAGGGACTTTGGCTTTCCTGTCTCCAAACTAGTATCCTTGGGCTGTTCAGCTAGATTTGACTTCTATCCCATTCCCTAAGGTGTGCTTCAAGTAGAAAATCCCAATAGAGCCAGTAGACTTTAGCAGGTAACTGCTTGTATCAGGAATGCTTTTGTTTGTAAGAAACAGCTCAGCAGTAATTTTAAATAAATACAGGCTTTTATTTTTTATTTCTTTAATCATATAAGTTTAGCCATGAGCAGCTGTGATCTCTTGTAGCTGGGGTTTCTGGGATTCTCCTGGCCTTTTTTCTTAAGCTCTAGTCATCATTTTCATGTTCCCCAAAGTTTTTCCAGAAGCCCCCATCTGACTCTCTTCCTGTATCTCATTTGTTGGAACTGGATCATACAATGGCCCCTCACTGCAAGGCAGTTTGAAAAACAGGATAGTTTTTTTTTTTTAAAGACTGACTTATTTATTTGAAAGGCAGAGTTACAGAGAGTGAGAGATCTTCAATCCACTAGCAAACTCCTCAGATAACCCCAACAGCCAGGGCTGGGCCAGGCTGTCAGGAGCCTGAAACTCCATCTAGGTCTCTACACTTGGGCCAACTTCTGCTTTCCCAGGCACATTAGCAGGGAGCTGGATCAGAAGTGGAGCAGCCAGGACTCAAACTAGTGCCGTGCAGAATTCGGGAGCTGCAGGCAGCAGCTTTTATGCTACACCACAATGCTGGCCACAGGGTAGTTCACTCTGTTGACCCAAACAGGTTTGGGTTCTTTTAGTAAAGAAGGAGAAATTGAATATTGATTGGATAAGCCACCATTGCAATGAGAAGTATTAGAAACTGTAGGATTGGGCAGATATTTGGCCCAGCAGTTAGGATGCCAGTTGCAACACTTGCATGCCTTGTCAGAGTGCCTGCGCTCAACTTCTGGCTCCAGTTCGTGATTGCAGCTTCTTGCCAATAGTGAACACTGGGAAGCTGCAGTGATGGCTTCTGTGGTTAGGTTCCTGCTGCCCACATGCCCATGTGGGAGATGTTGACTGAGTTCTCAGCTCTTGGCCTTGGCCTGGCCCAGCTCCACCCATTGCAGGCATTGGGGAGTGAACCAGTGGATAGAAGTGCTTTCTTTCTCCTTTTCTGTCTCTCAAATAAATAAATCTTTTTTTTTTTTTTTTTGCGGTGGAGAGGGGAGTGTAGGATTAAATGGGTATAGGACTATTTATCCCAATCTATCATTCATAATGCTGTGTTGAACGCTTTTACAGAAAAATGTTCAACTGCTCACATCAGTTTCTTTGAACCTCTGATTATTGTGAATATATTTCTCCCAAGCCGACTGGAGCCCTTCCTTTGCCCTTTTTCATTTGTTTGAGTTTCTCAGCCCAGGGAAGAAATACAAATACTGGGAAGGAGGTTTTATTTTAATTGCTTTTCCCCCTCCTTTAAAATGTTGTCTTGCCAACTTACCGGTCTGAGTTTCTCATTTTATTCTTCTGCCAGTCGTCCCACCAGCTGACCGACTGCTACTGCGCTCTGTCTGAATCCTCCTGCATCTGTCCTGCATTACAGATGCCTGCTTTGTATGCCAGCTAGTTGAAAGACTCCACAGTTATTTCTGGTACTCTACTAACCTTCCCTTTTTCTCTTTCTCCTCCTCTTTCTCCTCTCCTTTTCTTGTTTTCCCTTCTCTCCGTCGCTGCTGCAGAGCGTCTCTACAGCCAACTTGAGCGAAACCGCCTGCTTTCTAATGAGCTGAAGCTAACGCTGCATGATCTCTGTGACTGACGGGCTGGGCTCCCTGATGCCCATTAAACCGAGCTTACTGCTCACACCACTGACCTGGACCCCAGCCAAAGCTGATTGTCTTTCTTAAACTTCTTATAATTTGGCCCAAGCAATTGCTTTTTAAGTGGGGCAGTTAGAATGTTGTTGATTTCCTCACAGCACTGTGAAGCTGGAATAGTTAATGCTGTATTTCAATCCTTTTACAAGAGGTGATGGGTGACAGAGGGAGGGGCTGAAAGATTGCAGTGAAAAATCTTGGGAGAATTTTGTTTTCCACCCTTAATTGCTGCTCTTGCACTTGTGACTGTAGGATGTGTTCCCTTGCATGGCTGTTTTCTAACAATAAAAGGACTGACTTGGCAAGATATTGTAGCTGCTTCATCTGCAGGCCCAGGGATGGGCCTTTTTGACTGGGTGGAAAAAAGGGAAGGGAAAGAGGGTGTGGGCTGTGAATAGGGGTTTGTGTTGCTGTCGCCTTCTCTGAGTGTCTTCCCCTCACCTCCCTGGCGCACTCAGAGAGCTCTGCTCGCTAGGCAGGCGAGATGCTCTGTGGTGGTCAGCTGCTGGATTTCCTTCCACCTGACGTCTTCCCCTTTGACTCCTTTTCCTGGTTTTACGTTTAGTTGCAACTAACTGTCACAGGCTAGTTCTGGACAATAGCTTTGCAAAAATCTCGGGAATTTGCTTACAAGAATATGTTTGGGTAATATTTCTTGCCTTTGTTTTCTTTAAAAATTCTATGACTTCGCTATGAGGACTGTTGCTTTACCCCTCCTGTTCTTTTACTTCCTCTCTCCTTTTTGGAGAGACAGTGTAGAATCTGAGGACCTTCCTGTACCCCTTCTCAAGTTTAGTTATGTAGTTTATACTGATAGAAATGGCCATCCCTTGTTTGCAATGATCAAACTCCAGTGAGCCATTGCAAGTAAGCGCTGTCCTGTGGGCAAAGCCCTTAAGCATGGGCAACGATGTTATGAAGGCCTGCTTCTTCAGTGACTGAAAGCGGAAAGTGTGGTTGGGTGTGGGAGGGAGAGGAAATGGTTGACTGAGGTCCCTAGCTCCCTCCCCCAGGAAGTACAGCGACACTTGCAACTTTTAGTAGGCAAGCCAGAGGCCCTGCAAAACCCAGTGATGCGATAGCTCACTTCTGTGGCCAAGAAGGCAGCTGCTTTATTAACCTGCATCTTCCCTGAAACTGGAAAAAGTCTCAGAGTAGGCAGACCTTGAGATTTACCGTTTATAATTTCTCTCCTTTATCCCCATTAGATAAACTGAAATGCACCAAAGAGGAGCACCTCTGTACACAAAGGATGCTGGACCAGACTCTGCTTGACCTGAACGAGATGTAGAGCACCCCAGTCCCGCCCTGCCGCTGCTCCTCCCTCTGACCCCGACTCCACCTGAGGCCAGCCTGCCCGGAGCTGACCTCTAAACTGAGGGCTGATCTTTTAACTGGAAGGCTGCTTTCTCCTTTTGCCACCCACCTCCTCTGTCCTTAGACCCCGCCCCCGTGTCCTTTCACCAAACTGTCTCTGCCTCTTCCCAGAGATTCCAGTGGGACCAGAGGCTGAGCACTTTTGGGAACAACATTTAAGGGAATGTGAGCACAATGCAAAGTGTCTTTCAAAGCATGTTGTGATGTACACATTTTGTAATTACCTTTTTTGTTGTTGTAGTGACCATTTTGTAAAACATTCCAAGTAATTCCACACTCGGAAGGAGCAATCTAATACTTTTCTTACTTTTTGAAGGTAACTTTTCAGCTTAATGCATAGTGCCCTGTCCGCAGAGCAAGGAAAGAGGTGTTGGGCCTGCCTTACTGGGCACCAGACAGAGCCCAGGAAAGACTCCTCTGTGGGGAACCTCACTGCTCTGTACAAAGCATCAGCCAAACCAGAAAGGTGATTCTGGGAGGAGTTGGCCAAAAACAAAAACCCCTCGCGCTGTTCAGGTTTACAGCTTTAAGGTATCTTTGGCACTGTTTTTGTTTTGTTTTGTTTTGTTTTCATTCATCAGAAGTGACCAAATTAAAATGGTAAGACCTCTGAGACCAATTTTTTGCCCCACCTCTGCCCCTTCCCAACAGCTTGCAGAATGGATCATGTGCCTCTTAGGTTGAGGTGATCACTTCACTGCTTTTCCTGCCTCCTTGAGAGAAAGAAAATTATGTTTTTGCCACTGATTTAGCCATATAAAACTCATCTCACCACCCTTTGCTGGGTCTGAAGCTGCTGTTTCTAAAAGTGCCATCTCATTGTGCTTTGTATCAGTCAGTGCTGGAGAAATCTTGAATAGCTTCTGTACAAAACTTTTAAAATTTTATATTATTTTGAAACTTTGCTTCTCTGGCCTTGGGGACCCTGGCCAGCCCTTCTGGCTGTGAGAGCATTCCACAGTCTGGGCTGGCAGTGTGCTAGTCTTTCCAAGTTCCTTCCCCCACCCTGTCCCCACTTTAGGTGAGGTTTCTGTGAGGTCTGTTAGGTGTACATCCTGCAGCTTATTGGCTTAAAATGTACTCTCCTTTGGTGTGGTCTCTTTGGGGCCTGTTGGGAGAAAGAAAAACCAATAGTGTAACTGTTTTGATACTGATTATTGACAATAAGTGTCTTTTTGAAATAAAGAACCAGTCCCTCCAACTCTCGGACCTACTTGACTTTTATTTTTTAAACCAAATGTGGTTTCTCCACAGAAGCTGTGAGGCTTGAGTTAAAAATCAGATCTTTGTGGTGGTAGCAACAGGGTTTAATGTAGCACATGCTTTGGAAGCCGACCAAAACTAGGCCCAAACTCCACTCTGAAATTCCTTATTATGTGTCTCAATAGAAATAGTTTTGTTTTGTCATCTGTAAAATGGAGATAATATTTTATCAGAGTAGATGTGAAGATTTGAAATATTTATGGAGCAGCCTTTTATAGGTTAGGTTAATTTAACACTAGCATCTTCAGGCTGAACTGTGTTTTCTTGTACAACCATTATTATAATGGTTATTATAAACCATGGCTTTATTATGCTCCTTAAACCACTTAATATATATTGATCACACAGTACTATAAATGGTTTTAATAGACCATCTTTCAGTTAATACTCTGTTGTATATTTGGAAAAAAAAAGTTAATTTAACAAGAAGTGCTTAGCGAAGGCTGCATGCGGGGATGGCTTTCAAAGCTCAGTGCCTGGCATTTCCTGCACTCTGGTCTAAAGGCCGGACATGAATCCGACTTCCTAGTAAAATTACATGGCTCCCTTGACAAAGTCCAACTGTTTATACTACAGACTGGAAATTTTTCCATTTATAGGCCCAGACCAATGCTGACTGGAAATTATTGCATCATTTATTGCAATAAAAATTTTTATTTTGGTTTAGAAGCTTTACACAGTAGACAACAGAAGGAGAAATTAAATTGGTTGGTTTTTGAAGACTTTTTCTACTTGTTTCTTACTATTAAAAAAAGATCTGCCCTCCAATATTTGACAAAACAGTCCCGATGTGGCCCGTGCTGAGTTTCGAAACATTTCCTTGCTGAAAAGAGTTCCTAAAAAAACTCCCACAATTCCGAGCCAGACCGGGGGGGGGGGCTCTGCTGACGTCATGCCTGTGGATTGGCTGGTGTTGGTGCTGAGGGCGGGGCTGTAGTTGAGCCGGAACCTGAACCCCGCAGTCGCCATGGCTGGTTCTGGGTGGGCCCGAAGCCTAAGGCCCTTTTTCCCGTGGCCTCTACACAGCCTCCTGTTGCCGCTTTTGGTTTTGCTTGGAACTCTGGCCAACAAACTTAACGTGCCTCAGGTGTTGCTACCCTTTGGCCGGGAGCCAGGGCGGGTGCCCTTCCTGCTGGAGGCGCAGCGGGGCTGCTACACTTGGTGAGGGGTAGGAGGTGTCAAGCGTATGCGCCCCAGTACCAGCCAGTAAGAACAGGAGGGATTACCTCTGTTAAGACCGCACTGGTGTGCTGCGTGATGGCGGCATGGAGGGGACTACGCCGCAGGGAGGAGGCCGTGGTGTCTGGGGTGGCGCAGCCCATATTCTTTGTATGGTGCCTGTGGTAGGCATGGGGGGATATCAGGTTAGGAGGCTCTGGCTGTGAGGCCGCCCTTTTCACTGTGTGTGTTGGGAGGGGTGGTCACTGGACAGCTACCAGGACACACGTATTGATGGCTCCTCCATATGAGGGATTTTAGGAGCGTGAAATAGCTAGAGTGATAGGGAGTTCCCAAGATCTGAGGAAAGTTCTTGAGGGGCGGAGAAGATGGGATGTGAGTGTCGCTCCCCCTCTTCGTGGAGGAACGACACAGGACCCTGCGCTGTTCTTTCGTCTGCTCGGCCCTCCCCGGGTTTGCTGCTGGTTCTTCCCGGGTTGGCTGCCGTCCCTTCCACCTCCGTGGAAGGCCGGTTCCCCCTGGCCACTTTCCCCACTTCCGCGGGGGAGCGGCACACCGCCGGCCGGCTCTCTCGGGGGCTGCACAGGTGTTCCTTCAGCTAGATGTTCCTGGTGCATGTTGTCTCTCTCCTCCTTTATAGTCCTCCTCCGCCAATCCTAACTCAGGTGCCCACACGCCGAGTACGCTGCTCTCCTCCAATCAGGAGCAGGATCAGCTCCTGGAGGTCATCACTCAAGTTGGCAAGAGGCAGCTGCGTAGAAGCTGTTTTCTCCTCTCCCAGCGCCATATTGTGGGAGAGCAGATGCATAGAATAAGTCTTAATTCCAGTAACTCAGTCCAGTCCGGGTTGCTCCCCACATGTGAGGTTCTCAATGTGAGGAGATTCTAAAAGAACTAATTTTGGGTACTTAACTAAGCACTGCGTTAATGAACTCATTCACTTTTTACAGCCTTATGAAGTAAGTACTCCTATTTTACCAGGAAACAGACCCAGAGACCGTGAAGTGGAAACTTTTTGAAATATCAGGGTTAATCGAGGGTGGAGAAGAGATCTCTATCTGTAGTATACAAGTTGCTTCTCCTACATGCCCCCTCTCCCCATAAGGGTAACCATCTGAAGTGGTAAGACCCAGGGGGACTCAGCTCTGGAATAATGGCTTCCAGACTGAAGGTGCAAAGACACGGTGTTCTGGGGTGAGAGGACCCGATGGTAGGTTGTATGGTTACCTAAAAACGGGAGGGAATCTAACCCAAGTGAGCTCCAAGATGGCAGGGCGTTCATTCTAAACAGTAAATTATCGTTTACCATCCCTTAAGAGAAGTAGTGAGGTTCAGAGTGAGAAGTTCACCTCCAATTTTACGAGGACATATTAGGAAGTTGGGCTTGTAAAATGACCCAGTGTGAGGTATTTCCTGAGTGGATGGCACAAGGGCTCTTTCTAGTATCAAAGCTGTTCCTTCCAACCTCCGGAAATATTTTTTTTTTTTTAAGTTGCACTCACACCTCGGTAATTGAGGTGATTTTCCCTTCTTTGATAGCAGCAGTTCAGTTTCTAGGATTAGAAGAAATTCATTTCTCAGAGTATAAGAAAGTCCCATCTCATTGGAAATACGACATCCTATTTTTATACCATGAGAAGAGTGTAACAGTATCATTTTAAATATTGAGGGTCAATATAACACTTCTGGAGTTTTGCACACAAGAGATCATTGGGTAAAGGTTCTGATCAGTCTCTCCTACTTTAATTCTTGTGTCCCTAAGCAATGCTCCTACTTTAAAGATTGTCATTAGTAATATGTAACTGGAATATAAGGATTTGCTCCACCCAAAGTTAACTTTTTAACCCACGTATTTCAAACTCGTAAGCATTTTGTTCTGGCAGGCATTCCACCCATCATGATGCAGTTACTGTTGAGCCTTTATATGAAAATGGCACCTTGTGTTCTCAAAGAGCTGTACTCATTGCTGAATCTACCCAACCGATACGCCTCAGCAGTATTATTCTTGCTCGAGAAATAGGTATGTTGGGAGCAAAGACTAGGTAACACTCCATCTGGTAGAATAATCTAATATCATGTATAGATGGTTAATACAATAGTGTTGGCTTTAACTGATGAGGTTAGAAAAAGGATTTCTGCTATATAAACCCTAATTATGGCATCCATCTGACTGTTTTTCTTTTTGGTATATTCAGCATCTGTCAGAGTACCTGATACCATGGAGACTGATTGAAACAATAAAGAATCATTCATCTGGAATTAATTTAGGTGTTAAAGGTTGAATTGGTCTGGAGTGAGCAATTAAAAAAAAAAAGGCTGCATAAGACTATGAGTAGAGCATCTCAATGCGGGTTTGAACACAAATCACCAGCATTGCCTGCATCCCCTGGTTTCTTATTAGAAATGTCAATTCCCAGTTTCCATCAGAATCCCTGGATGAGCCCCTAGGGGTGTCTATTTTAACAATCTCTCCAGATGATTTTTATACATACTTAAGTGTGAGAAGTACAATCATGTGTTTTAGTCTGGAGCAATTCAAGAATTGCTATTTTGGGCCGGCGTTGTGGCACAGCAGGTGAAACTGCTGCCTGTAATGCTGACATCCTGCATGTGTGCCGTTTTGTGTCCCTGCTATTCCACTTCTCATCGACCGTGGCCTGGGAAAAGCCCTGGAAGAGGGCCAAAGTGCTTGGGCCCCTGCTACCCACTTGGGAGACCTGGATGAAGCTCCTGGTTCCTGGCTTCGGCCTGGCTCAGCCCTGGCTATTAGAGGCCATCTGGGTAGTGGCCCAGCAGATAGATGGAAGATCTGTCTTTCCCTCTCTTGAATTCTGGCTTTCAAAACTAAATAAATCTTTCAAAAGTTGCTATTTGTATCCCAGTCAGAGAAGGATTCTTTGTATCCCTGTGTTTTTGGTACATCATTGCCATTCTAATAGACCGGAAATATCTGTATGGATTTTAATTATTTAATGAGCGATTTAACTATAATGTAATTACTCAGAAATTTAGAATGTTTGGTATACTATATTTCATATAATTGAGGATGCCATGTATTATGAAGTATAAATTTTATTTTAAGTAGCTAAGAAGGAAAAAGATGGCCAATTAAACTATACTTAAAATTTTTTTTCTCATTTATTTGAAAGGTACAGAGAGAGACTGACAGAGACAAAGAAGGCAGTGTCTTGCATCTTCTGGTTCACTCCCCAAATGCCTGCAATAGGGAGGGATGGGCAGCCAGAGCTGGGATCCAGGAACTCAATCTAGGTCTCCTGTGTAGGTGGCAGAGACCCACCTGCTTGAGCTGTATCACCTGTTGCTTCCCAGGGTGTGCACTAACAAGAAGCTGGAAGCTGGAATCTGGAACAGAGCCTGGGTGCATCCCAAGCAGTGGCTTGGAAGCTGCACCATTCACCACTACTATGCTTTTATCCCACTTGCAATTTTTACTTTATACTTACAGAATGATTTCATTTAATTATATAATTTCTTTAATCTTGTATCACTCTGATGCCTAATGAAAAGGGATATACAGGGGGTAGACATTTGGCACAGTGGTTAAACTGCTGCCTAGGATAAAGGAGTTCTCTACTATTGTCCACCAGGTTTTCTTCCAAATGCTAATGCCTGTTTACAAATTTTGATGCTGGCCCTTTGAATGTTCTCCCACATATTGTCAGCAACAACAGTGTCATGACTGGCTTTTGACTGCAGTTAAATGTCATCAACTACATGATACGTCCCATGTTCAGAGATGTTAAAGTGTCATAAATGTCCAAGAACCAATGAAATATTAAGAAATTCTTGAAAATGAGATTGTTGGAGGACCATGTCATTCAAAGTAGCTACTAAAGATAGAAGAGGATACCATAGTCTTGAAAAGGAGCATTGATTCGGTTACATATGCTATTTTTTTTTTTAAAGTAATTACTCTTTACTATGTGAGATTGTAATTTTTTTAAAGATTTGTTTATTTGAAGGAGTTAGAGAGGTAGAGACAGAGAGAGAGGTCTTCCGTCTGATGGTTCACTACCCAATTGGCTGCAACGGCCAAAGCTGCGCCAATCTGAAACCAGGAGTCAGGAGCTTCTTCTGGGTTTCCCATGTGGGTGCAGGGGCCTAAGGGCTTGGGCCATCTTCTACTGCTTTTTCAAACCATAACAGCTGGATTGGAAGAGAAGCAACCAGGACTAGAACCAGCGCCCATATGGGCTGCCAGTGCTTCAGGCCAGGGCTTTAAACTGCTGCGCCACAGCGCCAGCCCCTGGTTTATTTTTTAAAGACTTATTTTTATCTGTTTGAAAGGCAGGGTAACAGAGATCTCCTATCCACTGGTTCATACTCTAAATTACCACACTGGCTGGGGCTGGGCCAGCCAAAGCCAGAAGCCTGGAACTCCATCTTGGTCTCGTGTGGGTGGCAGGGGTTCAAGTATTTGGGCAATTTTCCAATGCTTTCCCATGCAGATTAGCATGGAGCTGGTTTGGAAGTGGAAAAACAAGGACTCAAACCTGTGCTGTGATAGGGGATTCTGGCATCAGGCAGCACCACTTTATCACATGCTGGCCCCCAAATAAGCATTTTGTGCACTGTGCTAAGCACATGGTAAGTGTTCAGAAAACAGGCACAGTAGGTAAGATGCTACTTGGCACTCCTGCATCCTGTATTGGAGTGCCCAGGTTTGAGTGGCAGTGCTTCCAATTCCAGCTTCCTGGTTATGCACACCCCAAGAGGAAGCAGGTGATGGCTCAAGTATTTGGATTCCTGCCACCCATGTGGGAGACCCAGATTAAGTTCTGGGCTCCTGGTTTTGGCTTGCCCAACCCTGGCTATTGTGGGCATTTGGGGGAGTGAACCAGAAGATGGAAGATCTCTCTTTCTCTCTTTGTCTCTTTGCCTTTCAAATAAAAATAAATATTTTAAAAATGTTCAGTGAATACTTATTGATTAATTGCAACAATTGAGTGTAATAAAGAGGAGCTGATTTGGAAACTAGTATAAATATGAAGGTCAGGAAAGGGAGGAAATCTTTGTCCTATCTGTTCCCTTTTTAAAAAGAATATTTAGGGGCCGGCGCTGTAGCGTAGCAGGTAAAGCCACCGCCTGCAGTGCTGGCATCCTGTATGGGCACCAGTTCAAGTCCTGCTTGATCCACTTCCAATCCAGCCCTCTGCTATGGCCTGGGAGGGCAGTAGAAGATGGCCCAAGTCCTTGGGCCCCTGCACCCAAGTGGGAGACCTGGAAGAAGCTTCTGGCTCCTGGCTTCAGATCAGCGCAGCTCTGGCTGTTGTGGCCAATTGGGGAGTGAACCAGCAGACGGAAGACTTCTCTTTCTCTGCTTCTCCTTCTCTGTGTAACTCTGATTTTCAAATAAAAAATCTCTTTTAAAAAATCTTTTTTTAAAATAGTATTTATTTGAAAGAAATTTTGCATCTGGGGCCATCGCCGCAGCTCACTTGGTTAATCCTCCCCCTGCAGCACCGGTTCTAGTCCCGGTTGCTCCTCTTCCAGTCCAGCTCTCTGCTGTGGCCTGGGAAGGCAGTGGAGGATGGCCCAAGTGCTGGGCCCCTGCACCCGCATGGGAGACCAGGAGGAAGCACCTGGCTCCTGGCTTCGGATCGGCGCAGCGCCAGTCGTGGCGGTCATTTGGGGGGTGAACCAACGGAAGGAAGACCTTTCTCTCTGTCTTTCTCTCACTGTCTAACTCAAAAAAAAAAAAAAAAGGATGCTTTGTAAATCATAAAAAAAGCATTTAAAAAAAAAAGAAAGAAATTTTGCATCTGCTGGTTCCTCCGAAAATGTCTGCAACCATGGGGAAACCAGATTAGGTTTGCCTGACCTGGAAGGCTGGGTCAGAAGTGGAGGAGCCAGGACTCAGGCAGGCACTCTAATGTGGAATGCAGGCGTCACAACAGCATCCTGGTCACTGCACCAGACACCCATCTCTGCTCTCTCTTTTTGTCTCTGGCTTTGTGTCCTTTTGATTCTCTCAGTCCTACCTTCGTTTTTTCTCTCTCTCTTATCTTTTTTCTTTTCTTTCTTTCTTTCCTGTTTTTTTTTTTTTTAAGAATTTAACTTTTGGGGCCGGTGTTTTGGCACAGTAAGCTAAGCCTCTGTGGCGCCGGCATCTCATATGGGCACTGATTTGTGTCCCAGCTGCTCCTCTTCTGATCAAACTCTCTGCTTTTGGCCTGGGAAAGCAGAGGAAGATGGCCCAAGTGCTTAGACTCCTGAGCCCACGTGGGGACCTAGAGGAAGCTCCTGGCTCCTCGGGTTGGCCCAGCTCCAGCCATTGTGACCACTAAGAGTGAACCAGTGGATGGAGGACCTTTCTCTCTGTCTCTCCCTCTCTGTCTTTGTAACTCTGCCTCTGAAATAAACAAATAAAATCTTTGTTCTAAAAAAAAATTTAACTTTTTTTTTTGGGGGGGGTGGGCAAGGGGACACTTGGGCCCTCTTCCACTGCTTTCCCAGGGCATTAGCAGGGAGCTGGATTGGAAGTGGAGCAGAGACTCCAACCGGCACCCACTTGGGATGCTGGCATTTCAGGCAGAGGCTTAACCTACTATACCACAGTGCCAGCCCCAATATTTCTTCATCTTGATAGATCATCTCTCTTCTTTTTCTTTCTTTATTATCTGACACCAGTAGGAATCTGAGGTATACCTAAATAAGTAGGTAAGAATATTTGTTTTATTGTTAAAAATTTATTTGTTTGAAAGGCAGAGTTACAGGGTGGCGAGGCCCAAGCACTCGACTGTCTTCTGCTTTCCCAAGCAAATTAGCAGGGAGCTAGATTGGAAGTGGAGTAGCCAGGACTTGAACCGGTGCTCACTCATATGGAAGGCCGGCATTGCAGGTGATGGCTTCACATGCTGCAGCACAATGCCGGCCCCTGTTGCACTACTTAATACAGTTATTTGTTTAGTTTCCACTTTAAAATCAGGTAAAGTAAATGTTTGGTGTTTTTCCTAATCTAAGTCTGCTTTTAAGACATTCAACATTCAAGGTAATTTT